GTTTGAAGTTACTCTATGTTTGCTGCCAGAAAAGACTTCCTCTGTAGGGGGTGACTATGGATTGTTCTTGAAAAGAGAATTTCTTGAAACTCGAATTCACTGTAGGCTCTTGTGTCGCCTGTGTCGTTGGACTGAGTATGCCTCGCTACTGCCTATTCGGTGACACTGTGAACACTTCATCACGAATGGAAAGCAATGGGAAACGTAAGTTCCCCCTCAAGATTTATTTTCGTGAAAGTTAGCACAAAGCTAGAGGACAGGGAGATCATAATGGGTGAAGATCATGTCGAAGATTTGCAAGGGGTTTTGTGACTATCATCTTATTTCCGCTAATTTTGAAACATTCAGCTGGTCACATTCATATGTCCAAAGAAGCGCACGACTTGCTCATCAACGAATTCCAAGCAGAGTATGAGACACAACCAAGAGGGGAAGTAATTATAAAGGTGAAAAATTGTTTCTGACACTAACAATAAGTCAAATATGGACTCATAATTTACTATATGAAATTCAGTCGAAACGGATTCATTTTTAATCGTAACTTACTTAAATTTTGAATACTTTCAAACAATCAACATCGTTCTCAACCCAAAGGACAGTAATGTCCATCACACAAAGACACAGGATAGTAAAGTATGAAAGTGTACAATGAAAGAGTCACAGAAAGTGCCGAGACGAACTCTCGTCTTTAGGAGCAGCAAAGCATGAAGATCGATCCGTGCAGTAAACCGAACCATTTCTTGAGCGAACTCTTTTCCTTCCTTGAGGGCGCTTTCAGGATAAATGACGTGCCATCTTATTCAACGGCTCACTTATTGATTATATATCCCGAGCTTCGTAATGAAGCGGATTGTGAGAAAGAGAACCAGTCCACCTCCAGGATCCTTATGAGAACATCAGGCCACTTTGTTAACTTCTTACATAGTATAAAGTTCCACAAAGCAGAAACAAAACTTCATAAGTGAAATTCCACAGAACAATTCCGTGAACAATACACAACCTATAACCTTTTTTCAGGGGAAAGGTGTGATGGAAACATTCTGGTTGATTGGCCGTCGTGCCACTTCCTATGCTAGGCTTCAATTGGATGTGCCTGCTGAGCAAAAAGCGGAAGAGAATGGAGCAGCATAAGGACGACCAAACCGTAGTGACAGAGCTAAGTACGGCAGAAAAGACGCCTCCATCAACTCCGGGCACTATTTCGTCGAACTTAATGTATAGAGAATATTTGCGTAGTAACTTTATTGTAGCCTCATAATTGCCGAAAGTATCCCTCGAATTGACCTTTCTTGTTGTTCCTCAGGCCGTACACTAAATTCCTATTGATTATATTTTATTGATTGATTTTAATTGCCTTTGATGAATAGTCCGCTATCGCCTTGTAGTTTGATTAGTTTCTGTCATTGAGGACTATTGTAAGGCGAAATGGAGTTCCTTCAAATAGCCAGTCCTTCCGAATTCTCACAATGGATAGGGGTTTGATGCTAGGCAAGAAATCTTTCTGCTTATTAGTATTTCAAACACCGGCACTTTATTGCAGACGCGG